ATGAGCTATAATAGTTAATTAGGTTAATTAATATTTTTATCCAATAAAATAAAAATGGACTCCGGTGGGCCAGTTATTCGGCGGATACCACAGAAGGCTGTCTTTGCCCTCCTCTTCACTCTAGTGATTCTAATCATAGTTTTACTCCTTCCCAGTAGGAATAAAAGTAGTCTAGAGACTCAAAAGGACAGTGGAATATTGACATATGGTGGTAACCAAGACGACGATGATTATAATGGGACTTACCCCCTAACCACGCCCATAAGTGAGAAACAGAGGAATTACAATAATTTTGCTCCTATGTCATTTTGACTGATAAATTTTTGGTGGTAAATGCACATACGTACTATCATATAGGAACAAATAATATTATTAAATTTAAGATTGGAGTCGTTGCAGACCAGGATAAAGATTCTAAGGTATAATAGTAATTTTATTATTATTATTGTTATTATTATTATTATTATTGTTATTGATATTTAGGAAAAGGATAAGGATTACACGTGGTTCTCGCTCCTAAAAAGAGGTTACTTAACTTACGATTCTATTAACAGTAAAGTTACTGTGGAGTGGTTTGATGAGGTACGTTAAATATTCTATATAATGCATCCACACATTATACTCTATTAAATTATACTCTATTAATATTCCCAAAGCAGCATAGTGAGCATACATACATACATACACTTACTAATAGAATATCCTCACACACACACACACACACAGTGAGTGTACGTTATGCACTCACTTACCAACAGGGGTCACAAACCACACTACACAATATACACGTTTATCGAGTGAAATGAAATCAAATGATCATAAACAATCTAAATCAATAGCAGCTGTGTTTATTGTCTCCCTTGCGCACTGTAATGAGGTCGCAGATTCTGTTGCTGCCTTTTAGTATACAATTTCTTAACATCTTTGTTAGTTGTTTCTCTCTTATTCGCATCACTTGCAAACTAGTCTCATTAAAGTCTCTGGTCTATCTTTCTGTATCTTTTCTATGTCCTCTCTCTCTCTCTCTCTCTCTCTCTCTCTCTCTCTCTCTCTCTCTCTCTCTCTCTCTCTCTCTCTCT